CCCACCCATCTTGTTACCTGATTATTGGTTAACTTGCCCCACATGTGTTCCCTCGTTACCCTCCTCATTTGCTCCCTATTTATTCTCCTTGTGTTTGCAGTCCTGTGCCAGTTTGTCGTCGAATGTTCACTGTCGTGTGCCTTGTCCTGCCAGCCAGTCAAGTTGTGAGCTGTTTTTCCCCTACGGGGTAGTTTTTGTCTGTTTTGTTTTGTTTCTGCCTTTAATAAAGCCCTTATCTTCCTGCAATATTGAGTCCTTGCTCCATCCTTCATCCCCAACCGTGACAGCTACAGGTTATATTATATGCTATTTGTGCAGCAGCAGTATGTTTTAAATACTCCGCAACGTATCGGTGTATATTGGCAGTAGTAAGTTCCAGTAGCAGCAAAAATCTACAACAACAGCAGATCTAAACAGACAAAATATATTAACATTGTCGTATCCATCATCATGCAAGAATCTTGAGAGAGTTGTCATGATAGAACTAACTATTAACTATGACTTTTACCTCACTAAACTCCTAACTTGCTGCTTCTTAATAGTAGTTGTCAAGGGTAGGATTATGGGATCTAAAATATGGTCATGCAGAATAAGACATTAACATGTGCTTTATAAGTACTAATAAACAGCCAATATGCTAGTAATAGGAATGGCATGCTAATAAGAAACTTGTTAATAGTGAGAATTGGTCCCTATACTAAAGTGTTATCTAAAACTGTATACATTTTCTTAATTTTAGACTCAACTTGATCTACATGCTGTTAGTTTCTTGGGGAAATTTTCATCAGTTTTATGTTTATAGCTTTATAATTACCGTATTGACCCGAATATAAGACAATGTTTTTTTGTTGGAAATACATCTGAAAAAACGGTCGTCTTTTATTCAGGGTCTAGACTTTGACATATCAATAATACACCCACAACAATAGGTGGCACCAAATACGCATAAAACAAGTGTGCCATGAAATACGTAATGTAATGCGTGTTGTAAAGCTCGCGAGTAAAAACAAAAGAAGAAGAAAACCTTACAGGAGCATGAGTTGTGACTGTCTGGTTAGCCTGATGGGACCAAACTTTAAAACGTAAGACAGTACCCAGATTTGAAGACTACAGTAAGATTTAACTTCTACTGTTAATAAGATTTTGGTAGGCGATAGCCCAAATGTCCTAATTCAGATGGGCTACCTGTTTTTTTTTTTTATGGTATATCAAAAAGTGTATATTTTTTTAAATGTGATTGTTGGTACATTTTACAATACGTTCAAAACAAAAATTAAAATAGGAAAAATATGCAATATGAAAATAATTGAAGACAAAATGTATTTTACTGAGAAAAAACAAGATTTGGTTTTTAAAAAGCCTTTTTCCAAAAGGTACATCTGGAAAAAGGGGGGTCATCTTATAATCAGGGTTGTCTTATATTCGGGCCAATACGGTAAATAATACAGTCTGAGTCAGAGTGTGAGAATGATTAAAGAGAATTTTAATTTTGCCATCATTTACTCACCCTTATGTCAACTTGTATGTGTTTCTTTCTTATGTGGAACATACAAGATGATATTTTTAATTTTCTTTTTTTGGTACACCACCTCTTTAAAGAGAAGCCAAAATGTATCCCTTTTCTGGATTTTTTAAAACAGAAGTTTTATTCCAATTTTAAGACTGACACGGGTTACAATATTTTTATTTCTTCTGTCTCTGTCTGTCTATCACCCTGTCTCTGTATTTTGCCTGCCTATCTTTGCGTCTCTGTCTATCAGCCTATCAATGTCTCGTTGTCTCTCAGGTATCATGTTATGTACATGAGTGCGTAATGAATAATACTGTAGTTCCTGTATAGAGTATCAGGTCAGATCGATATCATCAACCTCTCCCTGTCTGCCCACTGCAATACCAAACCGCTGCGTGCCAGTGTGTGTGTGTGTGTGTGAGGGAGCATGCCAACTCCTGAAACATCTGATACACAGACGTTCAGATTTTAAAACATTGTCTAACATACACTTACACATGGACAGGAAACTGGTCATCCTGAGATAAGATAACGTCTCTGACTCCCATTTCATACAACGGTTTTTGAGCTACTGAAAAATACAGCACCTTCCTGTCATCTTTTACAGTCTCGCTTACAGGTGAATGTAATGGAAAATGCAGGAAACATGAAGGTGATACCCGCATACAGACTGTTTCATCTGCTGAGTGCGGCGAGATAGAGCTTTGGGACACCAAATTACATAACATTTCATAAGAAACAATGAGAAGGATAGAGACTCCTAACTGATATTTTCACATTAACACCTGTGGTGAACAGTCAGAGGCGGGTAGAGTACGGAAAAACTGTACTCAAGTAAAAGTAAAAGTACTTATAGAAAAATGTACTCAAGTAAACGTAAAAGTAATAGTCTGAATAGTTACTTGAGTAAGAGTGAAAAGTATCTGATAAAAAAAACTACTCAAGTAGTTAGTTGCTAGTTACTTTGGATCATATACTGCATATCTATAGTCTATTTTTATTTAGATATATAGATAAAATGTATGTAATGTGTGTATATATATATATAGCCTACATATACACACACACTGCCATTCAAAAGATTTTTATTGTTTTTTAATGTAATTCATTTCAGTGATGCAAATCAGAATTTTCATCAGCCTTTACGCCAGTCTTCAGTGTCACATAATCATTCAGAAATCATTCCAATACGCTGATTTATTATCAGTGTGTCAGGATCATAGACTGTCTGTGTCATGTTTTGCCCCTGTTTCTGTTCCCTTATTTGGTCATGTTCCTGTCCTCGTTTTGTTAATTAGTTTGATTAGTCATCCCATACACCTGTGTTTCCCCAATCATCTCCTGTATTATGTCCTAGTCTGTGCAGTCTGTGTTGGTCAGGTCTACTCGTTCTCTACGTGTGTTGGCTCAAACTCCTATTGTGGATTATCTCCTGTGTTTCGTGATTAAAGACTGTAAAACATTTCCTTGTGACTCCAGAATGTTCCCTCAACAGCGTGACGTGACAGAAGACCTGACCCAAAAACAGTTACCGCCGTGCTTTCCTCTCCGTTTGTTTTCTCGTTTTTCCCAGTATGTTTTTTTCCCATTGTGTTCCCTGGATGGATGCCCTTCTTCGCTCCGAATACCTCCTCCTCCTACTGTAGCAGGGGGACAAAGCTCTCGAGGACCATACTAGACTGTTCCAGCTGCTAGCAAGAACCACCAGCTACCCGGACGACACGCTCTGTGCGTTCTACGACGCTAGTGCAGAGTGCAGAGCACCGTCATCCGAAGATGGTCCTCGAGAGGATTTTGGCGGGTTTGTGGAGTGGATTGTGGCGAGAAACGGGTCACCTCTCACCGTCACTCCCAAGGATGATCTCGCCAGATCAACCCATAGCCCAGCCCACCATCTCCCCGCTGTGCGAAGCTAAAGCCCTTGCCCCCCATTGACGGAGAGCCATTTCCCGCCGCGATCAGCGAGCCAGCGCAAAGCCGAGCGACTGAGCAGAGGATCGCCCCAGATGTAGAGCTGAACCCGTCAGACCAGGTGCGAGAGCCGGCGACAATGCCCGTCACAAGGGAGAAAGCCGCGGATGGTGTGAGTGCGGAGAGGAGCTCCGCCCCCTGCACCGTGGCTGAGGGTGAGCTGAGTATCTCAAACAGAAGAGGAGAGGGCTCCAGTCCCCGAATCCAGTCCAGAGCGTCCTCCAGTACCCGCTCCTAGAAAGCGCCCTCCAGTGCCAGCTCCTCGTAAGCGTCCTTAAGTGTCCGCTCCTCCTGAGTGCCATCCTGTTCCTGTGTTCAGCCTAGTGGGGGCTTCCAATCCAGAGTTAAGCCCTGAATTCCCGGAGACTCACAAATGCCTGCCCTCCCACCCGCTCCTGCCTCCTCCACCACTGTCGTCTGGCAGCCCCTCTGCTCGCCCTCAGCCCACCATCATTACAGTGCGAGCTCCGTGGGTCTGCCATTCTCCAGCGTCGCCATGGCTGGAGAATCCCTCACCTCCGCCTCCAGCCTCCGAGGCCCGGACTCCGCCTCGGCCCGTAGACCCAGCGGCTCCACCTTGGCTCCTCAGTTGCTCCGGCTCTGCCGCAGATCCCCGGATTGCCGTCTCCCCCTCGGTCGCCAGAGCCCTCAGCTCCACCCTGGCCCCCCGGATCTTCGGCATCCCCCTGGCTCGTTGGCTCTCCGTCTCCGCCTCAGAATATATTCCAAAAAATATTAAGCAGCAAAACTGTTTCCCGACACTGGTAATGAATGAATATATTAGAATGATTTCTGAAGGATCATATGACTCTGAAAACTGGAGTAACAGCTGATGAAAATTCTGATTTGCTTCACTGAATTAAATTATATTTTAAAGTATATTAATTATGTATTATTATATATATATATATATATATATATAACCTCTGACACGGAGAAGAGAGAAAACTCCTCACATGACCGCTACCCAACATCTGAACATAACGAAACAAATGCACATTGATGGATCTTTTTCCATCTGTTCTGCAAAATGTAAACAAATGTATATTTCTGGAAGCATAAATATTGTGAAAATATCAATATTAATTGTGTCTAGGCAAAGGCATTCCTCCTAGAACAGGTCACGCGCCATTTCATACTCTGTGACAGCTTATTTAATGTATAAATTATGCATTGTATTTAATGTATAAGGTACATGTACAACAAACTGGTAATGTCTTAGTGGTATCATGTACTGTAATCAAATGTGTATCTATATACTAGAGGGTATATCTAATCGAATCTATACCTGTGGAACCGTAGACAGCACACGCAGGTGTTCATCTAATAAAGATCTGTTTAATGCAGGACATGAATGCATTTATATTATGCATATATATGTTCACACCAGCAGATAAAAACATTTATTTATAGAGCTGCAGTTTTGTTGCCTGTCACTTTAAATGCTGGAGCTCTTTAAAGCAGGATGGATTCTGATTGGCTGTCAATGTTTATATCCCTCATGTGCAGAAAAATGATTGATTATTGTTGTGTGTGCGTGTGTGTTCGTGCAGCAGCAGACTCATGCCGCCTCCGTGTGCTCCGGCGCCAGTCGACGGTCCGAGAGCTCAGAAAGCAGACGAGAAGACGCCGGTGCCGAGCCTTCTGGGTAAGACAGCCGCTCACACAGCTCGCTCATAATCACTCACGCTGATGCTCTCTGCATGCAGATGTGAGGCTGCAGCGGCGGAGGACTGTACGCTAGCTACAGGTAAAGCTGAAGCGTCTCGCTTCCTCAGGAAATGACACGCTTCAGCTTCTCCGCCCCTCATTGGTCAGATGTGTTGAGTGAAGCTCCTCCCCCGAGCGGTGATGTCATCAGCCGTGTGGCTGCCACACTAACGGCCGTCTCTCTTGTGTTTTGTGTTCTCTCTCTTTCTCTGTGTTTTTTCCCTCTCTTTCATGTCTCCGGATCCTGCGGGGGTGGGGCCTGGATCCTCGACGCCGCCTCCTGATTGGACGCCCCCCGATGACGTGTGGCTGTCGTCCAATCCCGCGTTTGATTAACTGTGCTGCTGTGGCGTGTTGTTTGTCTGTGTGTTTCTGGTCTCTCTCGTCAGAGCCGCAGGTGAAGCGTGTGCGGATGGGGCTCGTGGCGTACGCTGGAGACTCCTCCGACGAAGAAGAGGATCATGGAGCCTTCAGAGCGGCCGGAGCCACAGGATGGACATACCGCTGCCCTTCATCACCACCCACACGGCCCAAAACACAGACGCAGACGCAGCTCAGCTCCACCCTGGCCCCCCGGATCTTCGGCATCCCCCTGGCTCATTGGCTCTCCGTCTCCGCCTCAGAATGTATTCCAAAAAATATTAAGCAGCAAAACTGTTTCCCGACACTGGTAATGAATGAATATATTAGAATGATTTCTGAAGGATCATATGACTCTGAAAACTGGAGTAACAGCTGATGAAAATTCTGATTTGCTTCACTGAATTAAATTATATTTTAAAGTATATTAATTATGTATTATTATATATATATATATATATATATATAACCTCTGACACGGAGAAGAGTGAAAACTCCTCACATGACCGCTTCTGAACATAATGAAACAAATGCACATTGACGGATCTTCTTCCGTCTGTTCTGCAAAATGTAAACAAATTTATATTTCTGCAAGCGTAAATATTGTGAAAATATCAATATTAATTGTGTCTAGGCAAAGGCATTCCTCCTGGAACAGGTCACGCGCCGCTGCGCAGAGCTAACGTGGGTATGGCGGGTGTTCATTTCATACTCTGTGACAGCTTATTTAATGTATAAATTATACATTGTATTTAATGTATATGGTACATGTACAACAAACTGGTAATGTCATAATGGTATCATGTGTCATCGGTGTTCATCTAATAAAGATCTTCATAGCTAGCAAACAATAGCCTTTGCAGATTTGCAAAGATTTGCAGAGGAGAACTGGCCCCCCGACTGAGCCTGGTTTCTCCTAAGGTTTTTTCTCCATTCTGTCATCGATGGAGTTTGGTTCCTTGCCGCTGTCGCCTCTGGCTTGCTTAGTTGGGGACACTTAATTTCCAGCGATATCGTCGACTTGATTGCACAGATACTATTTAAACTGAACTGAGCTGGATGATGACATCACTGAATTCAATGATGAACTGCCTTTAACTGAAAATTTAGTGTTTACTATTGTTATTTTGCATTATTGACACTATTTTCCTAATTAATGCTGTACAGTTGCTTTGGCACAATCTGTATTGTTAAAAGCGCTATATAAATATAGGTGACTTGACTTGACTTGAATTTGCTTTCAATTGACTGTAGATCCAAAGCCACGTCTTCAACGCTCTTGATGTTCTTAAACTTTCTGTTACAACTCCGAGTGAGAACCGCTTCAGACGACTCATCGCGTGCAGCAAGGAACTGAAAGAATCATTCAAACTGATTTGCGAACCAATTCACTTGTTTGCCAACTGGTTTGTTCAAGCCTTTGAACAGAATTGACTCAAAAGAATGAATCATTCGCTAATGGGCATCGCTCATTGCCCAGAGAAAAGTAGACGGCGCATTTGGAATAAATTGAAGCATTTTTAACATGTATTGCATTGAGATAAACGAGAGGAACGTCGCCCACAGTAACGAAGTAAAAGTACCGTTTTATTTCCCTAAAATTATACTTGAGTAAGAGTAAAAGTACCCATCTTTAAATATACTCTAGAAGTATTAGTTACCAAAACTGAAAATAGTGTTGTATTTTCATGAGAAATGTAGCGTCTGGACCAATCAGACACACAATATATACTAAATTCATCTAGTGCAGAGTGCAGAGCACCGTCATCCGAAGATGGTCCTCGAGAGGATTTTGGCGGGTTTGTGGAGTGGATTGTGGCGAGAAACGGGTCACCTCTCACCGTCACTCCCAAGGATGATCTCGCCAGATCAACCCATAGCCCAGCCCACCATCTCCCCGCTGTGCGAAGCTAAAGCCCTTGCCCACCATTGACGGAGAGCCATTTCCCGCCGCGATCAGCGAGCCAGCGCAAAGCCGAGCGACTGAGCAGAGGATCGCCCCAGATGTAGAGCTGAACCCGTCAGACCAGGTGCGAGAGCCGGCGACAATGCCCGTCACAAGGGAGAAAGCCGCGGATGGTGTGAGTGCGGAGAGGAGCTCCGCCCCCTGCACCGTGGCTGAGGGTGAGCTGAGTATCTCAAACAGAAGAGGAGAGGGCTCCAGTCCCCGAATCCAGTCCAGAGCGTCCTCCAGTACCCGCTCCTAGAAAGCGCCCTCCAGTGCCAGCTCCTCGTAAGCGTCCTTAAGTGTCCGCTCCTCCTGAGTGCCATCCTGTTCCTGTGTTCAGCCTAGTGGGGGCTTCCAATCCAGAGTTAAGCCCTGAATTAAACCTAGCTCCACAATCTGTTTGATCTTGTATTAGTCTCTAGCCTTTACTCTCAACACAAGTTTGCCAAAATGTTGCAGATGCTCAGTCTAACTGCTCAGATGGCAGACCAAGAGGACTGGCCAGGCATTGTGAGGAACACCCTTCTAACCAGGGCTGCCGACCACCTACTGCACCAGAGCCGAAAGCAACTGGACACCGAGGGAAGAGTACTACTGACTCATGACTCAAGCGAGAGTTATGGCTGCAAAGAGCTCACCAAGATCATCATCTTCTTGGCCCACAACCTCATGGGTCTGAAACAGGAGGTAAATGATCTTAAGCAACAGATCATGGCGGTATCCCACAATGACCCCTGCAGAATGGAGTTACAGGCTCTGGCAGCTGCTGAACAGCAAGAGCACCTGGAAAAGGTAGCCAGAAAGGACCTGGAAAGGAAACTTTCCCACACAAATTTACTATTAAAGCATCAAATTCTGAGCTCTTAGACAAAGTTGCCAGAATTGAGA